ATAATAAAAAATAAATTAAATAAATTACATAAAAATGAGAACTTTTAAATAGTTGATTTGATATTAACATTGAAAAATAAAATCATTATTGTTTTCTTAAAAACACATAAAATCGTATTATAACATCGATAGAGACAAATAATAAAATAGAACATTAAAATCGAGATGTGTCTCGCTGCATTGCGCAAGAACTCTTCTAGTTATATTATAAAGTATTTGGCAAAAACTCTTAAAAACCTAATTTTTATGTATGAAGTACTGTTTATTCATGCATATTACTTAAAATTTAATATTACAAATAAATTGTGCGTAAATACAACTTAATAAAGTTCTATGTTTGAAATCATGTAACCATTGTAGTTAAACATAATCAAATACATAATAAATATCTTATTTTTAAATATAAAAGTTTGAAATATAATTAGAACAATCATTGAGTTCTAACATAATACTTAATTATTATCTTTATAAAAAATTATATTATTAAATTAAAAATAAATTACTTTGTTATTAAACCTAAATTAAATTTAAATTAAAAAAGTTATACAAAAAACGAAAACTTTTAGATAGTTAATTTGATACTAATATCGATATTTCTTTTTCAAATTTATATGATATTTTCAATCTTATATTTTTATTGAAAATAAAAACATTGTCGTTTTCTCAAAACCACATAAAACCGTATTACATCGACATAGGCAAAATAAAATGAAGTATTAAAGTCGAGATGTATCTCGTTACATTGTGCGAGTACCCTTCTAGCTAATCCAAAAGGACTTACAAATTAAGTGTCATGTTAATTGACGTTTTTCGAAAACCGTTCTATTAGACTTTATAATATATGATGTCTTTTTGAACATTGTTATGTCAGACTTTATAATACATACTACTTTATAAAGCATATTTGTCCAAAGTCTTAATCATGCAGTGCTGCTTTATACATTTTGTCTTAAAATCTGTTAGCTACAACCTACCAAACAAGATGTATGTACAAGTTAGATTTGCATTCTTCTCTTGTTTTAAGCATCCAAGAAATGACTACACTATAAAATATATCAGTTTTATGTTGAATTGCACTAAAGAATATTGATGTTAGAAAGTATTCGTGTAATGCAACAAGATATATATATATATATATATATATATATATATATATATATATATATATATATATATA